CTAGGAATTTTGTTATTTTATTCTAAATATTTATGTTCAAAATTTTAAAAATTAACATTACATAATATACATATAAAATTTAAGAACTATTTTAATAGTATCATTTTATGATTTTGTGAATCACACTGCAACATTTTGAGCGTCATTAACTTTTGGATCAAAGACTAATTAACTATTAGTTAAGCATAAATATAATTAGCAGCAGATTAACTGTTACTTATATTGTTAATTGTGAATAAGTCCTAAAATTTTGATGGAGAAAAGCCTAAAAGTCACGGATCATAAATCTACCTGCGACTAGGGCGGTCAAAATGGCTCGTTGTTCGTGAACAACTCGTGCTCGACTCGTTAAGAAGCTTTTGTTCGGCTCGTGCGCTAAGTTAATGAGCCGAACACGAACAACATGAACAAATATTTATTCATTCATGTTCGGCTCGTTTTGACTCGAAATACTACTAATCAATTATATATATATCTTTGATGAGTAGTATTTTTTAAAAATTTAGTTAACTACAAGACTACAAGGATTTATAAGCAATTAAAAGTATTAATGAAAAAAATAGAATAAAAACTATAAAATTAGATTCAAATGATGTTTTAAATCTTGTCTCAATCCTTAACATCTGTTAGCTACGTGATTAGGGTTGTCAAAATGACTCTTTGTTCGTGGAAGGCTCGTGTTCGGCTCGCTAAACAAACAAGATGAACACAAAAATATTTTTTTGAGCTCAAAATATGAACGAGGCTCGTTTACACCCCTATCTCAGCTCTTGTCCGACTGATTTACACCCCTGCCTAAGACCCTGATTTACACCCCTACCTAAGACCCAGAGTTAAATACTTACGCGAAAGAGGAAATGCAGGAAAAATTAGATAGAATGCGAGACAAATCGGTATAGAGTTGAGTTAAATTTAGGAGCAGTTTATACGGGCGGAGTTTCAAAGATTTTGCAATATCTGCCTATTATTAACACCAAACATCCCCCGCCTTAGCCAAACGCCAGAGAGTTGGCAAAGAGCGCGTGAGCGCGACGGACTGACGGAGGAGAAGATGGAGTTGCAGAACTCCGATTCTTCCACTCTTCTGCGACGTCACCTTCTTGAGTTCCTCATTAACTCGTCCCAGGTAAACTAAAATCTCGCAGTCAGTCTCCTCGCAATCCCCTGTTCTCAATGTTGAAGATGATTAAAAACTCTTCCACCGGTAACAATCCTGAAAGCAACTCCTTGTTCGTCCAATCGTCAAATACACCGCGCTTTCCTTCTTTGCCGACCGCTTCCTCCCTTCTATCTCTCGCTCCAGGTTTTTTGGTCGCTCTCGTATTCGTTTTCTTTCGGTTTTTTGTCAACTAGGTCCTAATTCTTAAGATTTCTTGGTAATAGGCAAGGCGATTTGTTCGACGAGGCAAGATGTGATGGGAGCTGCTGGCTCTTTCGTCCCTTGGCGGAGAGCAACTTGCAGGTCTTCGCTCTAGTTTCAATTTGGGTTTCCAGCAAAGTAAATCGCATAATCTTGTTTTCTCTTTTTCGATGGTATTTTGTGTTTTATTTGCCGCTCCATTATTATATTTTATGCTTGCTGCAGTTGCATGAAACTCAGCCCCTTTCAGTGAAGAGTTTAAAGAGTTTGGGGGATATGGTCATCAGCGATCAATGCTTTACCACTCGGGATTTCGCCATGGCAGTGCGTGTGGTTCTTGTTAACTTTGATTTATTTTTTTTGTGTTGATTTGTATTTATTGTTGATACGCCATGAACAAATTTAAAACATCTAGTCTGAATCTCGATGCATATACTAATCTCGATATATCTTTTTGAGCAAAAAACATTCAACTTTTGATTAAAAGTCATTCGGAAGTTTGGTTTCAACAAACTTATAGTTAAACTGATCGGCTCAATGAGATGGAACCAATGATATCAAAATTGGTCCAATCCGAGTCAAATCAAACCCCGATCAAGCCATTAAACCACAAATGAGTGTCGAATCCGGCGAGCTTATAGTCGAATTGTGTATATCGACAAAAAGAATCCAACGAGCCTAAGGGCCTGTTTGGGGCAACTTGAAAGTGCGGCGACGTTTTTGAAAACGCCGCCTTGATGTTTGATTTGCACGTTTTAAACGCGTTAATGAAAACAACGTTTTATTTTTTGTATTGCAAACCCTAAGATCTCTCAATTCTGATATCGTTAAGTCACTCAAATATTAATCAAACGCCGTCTGATGAAAGAAAATTCTCTTGATTGTTCAATAAAAGTGGTTCATATTTTTTTATATTAATTGCACCCGGAACTCTATAAATAGAGCTTCACCCTCTCATTGAGGGATGAAAGAGCTTGAAGCCTAAAGTGAGCTTGAGACTTGAGGAAAAACTTGAAGCTTTGAGAAAGAGCTGAAGTCCAACATTACTCCTGCCATCATCAACCACCACCGACCGCAGTCGACAATCTCCGACAGCTATCGACCACTATTAATCGTCATCAACTACCATCGACCGCCAATGACCATTGTCGACCACCACCTACTAATATCTGCCAATCGCTTTCGGTCGCCGTCTGTTCCTTGTAACAAGTTTATCTGCGGGTCAATGTTGTAACTTGGAAGGCCTTGTAATTCTTTCCCGCTTGTGGGACAAGTGGTTGCACTGTAATCATCATTTTATAGTGGAACTCTTCAGCTGTTGGTCTCGTGGTTTTTCCTTTTGCATGTTTTCCACTTAAAAATTTCTGGTGCTACTACTAGTTATTTTTTCTTTTCTAACTGTGTGTTGATTCTTCGTACCATGTAAAGGCAATAACATGCTACTCTATAGCTACGCTAAGATAATAATCTATTACTCTACTGTCAAGAATTTTCTTGCATGCATCAGTTATTTTTTTCTCTGAAACGGATGACATGCTATCATTGATCCATTGATTTAATGTATATACACATCAAACATGTGGTTTGTTACTGTTGGACACATGTATATCTTTTTAAGATCAAATGCTTGAAAATGATTATCATCAGCATTAGCCTTATTCACCTACTTTAGATTTGCTTTATATATATATATATAGTCCATATTTTTTGGGTCCTCTCATACAACCTCTATGTATCTTTTCAATGTTAATAAAATTAGCCCTTGGGCGTTTATAAAAAAATATATATAGTCCATATATATAGCATCATTTCTCTCCATATGCCCCATGGTGAACCATCCCTTTTTTTGAAAGGAATGTGAAATTTGCATCTAACAAATGTTAAAATTGTCTATATTTTATAAAAACAACACTATCATCAGCGAAAGGTTTTTTTAATCCTTTTAAGACTTTAGGACTTGAGCAAAAGTGAGATGTTAAGCATTTTGAGAAAGCAATCTCTTTGTTCTAGCTAGAGGATTTCCTTTTCTCATCCTTCATTCCATTTGCTTTTAACTGATGTAAATCTCAGTCTATAGCTGTCGAAAAATATAAGTTGTGTGCATTAAGAGGAATAAAATTAATGATGAGTTATATTATTAGTAATTTTATCCTATTGTATAATTTTTTTTTATTATTTTGATATTTGGTTTATTGGCTTCTCTGCTAGCAATTCAGTTCTTTGGCTCCTTAGATATTGTTGTTGTTTTGAGTTATTTGGATCTTTTATTATTTCTTTTTGTTTCTTGGATTCACAGACTTCTTTAGAATTAGTATTTTTATTATTTGGATTTATTGTTCATTCTATGATTGTTTGCTTAATTGAGGATTAGATTTATTTATTTTGATCTCCTTGTATATCTTGCTCTGACGAGCATTCAATTCGTTAATCACTAGTTCTTCTGATGGTTCTATTTTTTTCCGTGCAATGGTCACCATTGTAAGTCCTGCAGTGTGTTTTTTGGTTAAAGGAAGGATTGTGACAAATCTTCAACGAGAATCTTCTACAATTTGTTGGATTTTGAGAGTTCTTGCTGCCAAGTGTGCGAATTTTATGAGTTGCTCTCGATCGGTGAAAAGGAATTCATAAATTTTCTTATGAATAGGAGGTCCTTGCACATCAAAAAAGTAGTCTAAACTATATCTAAATAACTTATGGCTGTATGTGTTATTCTTTGTAGTCTTCTTGATAATGCGGGATACTAAAGGTTAATGGCTAAGGTTATGTTTTTGTGAAAAAGGGAAGCTTGGTTGGTGATATCTTGCCTTCTAACTTTTTCTTCCTAAAATTTGTTATTGCTTTGTATGCGCGATTGGATTTATTTAAGCTGAATATAGTTTGGATCTTTATGAATGTATGCTTCTCGCTAGATTTTTATGATTTTCACTTATTATTTCTAGATGAAAGCTATTAAACTATGATATGCATATAATTTTGATAATTTATAGCTTTCAAAAGTATCAAAATTATATGCATATTATATATTGGGTTTGCAAATTGAATCGTCGACATGATTTTCACATAGAATAAATCCAAGCCATGTCGACGATTCAATTTGCAAACACTAACTGAGGATTGACGGGAGAATTCTTGGCTAAATCAAAGGGGAAAAAAAATCGGATGAGAGGAACACGACAAGAGAAGTATCTGACATCAAGAACCCCTCCCATGGCTCCAATGGAGGGTGGATTAGAGATTGTCGAGGGAGGTGGTTTGGTCGAAATATGTAAGCGTTATGCAGGGGGTATGGAGGAGCACGAAGAAGGAAGGAGAGAAGCTAGGATGGGATATGACTATAATTGAAAGAGGGACTCTTACCCTCGATACATGGGGGAAAACATCGAGGGAAGAGGAAGTTCAATTGGAGATGCTGATCTTTGAGAGAGAAGGTTGTTTTGAAGAATTTCAGCCTGGGACAAAGAACCATGGTGGGTGGGACGCCGACGAAGGCTTGTATCCAACTAGGTTAGTGCATTTTGTGACGGTAGCCTTCCGGGCGGAAGGCAAAAAAGTAATGATGAAAACGAGGCAGGTGGAAAGGGGGCGGGGGGTGGTTGTAAAGGATTGATTTGGACACTGCAAATTATTCAAGAAGGAGATAAGATGGTGGTGCTTCACGGTGACCCCAATTTGTGCAATACATTGATGACATTGAAGATTGATGAGGGTGATTCAAGACGCGGGTTTGAGATTCTTGATCGAGTGGCATAACATAGAAAAGATACATGATACAGAGTTGATAGAGATTCGGGTGATCGATGAGCTATTGGATGAGCTGTTTGGGGCTATGATATTCTCTAAGATTAATTGGAAGTCGGGACATCATCAGATTCGGATGCAGTCCAAGGATGTGCACAATACGATATTTCGAGACTACGAGGGTCAGTAATAGTTTCTGATTAAATGGAAATGATTGTCAAATGATGACACCAGGTGCGAGACACATGATTTGACTCAACATCAGTTTTTCTACCTTGAGGATAATCTATTTTTTTAGGAGGGGTGTATTCTTAGGTTGGTGCATAAATGCCATTTTGTGTTTTATTAGCCTAAAGGCAATTTAGCCTTTTATTATTATTGTTGGGTATAAATAGGGTTAATATGTTTAGGGTTAGGGTTATGGATGAGGTTGTGGTTGTGAGTTTTAGGGTTAGGGTTTAGGTTTTTTGATCAGTGGCATAGCATGGAAGAGATCCATGATACAAAATTGATAGAGATTCTAATGTTCGATGAGCTATTGAATGAACTATTTGGGTTTGCAATATTCTATAAGATTAACTGGAAGTCAGGACATCATCAGATTCAAATGCGGTCAAACAATGTGCACAAAATGACATTTCTAGACGGTGGGGTCACTACGAGTTCTCAATTAAATAGAATGGATTGTCATATAATGACACCACATGTGAGCCATACGACTTGATCTAGCAGTAATTTTTTCTACCTTTAGGAATTTTTTTGGGATGGGAGTAATATTAGTCCGGTGCCTAAGGGAAATTTTGTTTTTTATTAGCTTAAGGGCAAATTAGTCTTTTTATTATTATTGTTGTTGGGTATAAATATGGTTAATATGTTTTTGGTTGGGTTTATGAATGAGATTATTGTTCAGTCTTAGGATTAGGGTTTGAGAGGGATTTCCTTTCTCTTGTGTAGAATTTGGGAGATCTCATACTTCTCGAATTTTAGCTGCTTTATCTTATATATTCGTGTTGAGTTGTTTGATGTTTTTGAAATAAAAGTAATATTTGCCCTTCAGTGAGAATTCAGCTTTGGATCGTATCAGCTTCCAATGTGAATTATATTTCACCATTTGATGAGAGGTGTATAAAAGATAAAATAATTTGTTCATTTCATGATCATTTTTAGATCATTAAACTTTGTCGCTAGGTTGTTTTTTGGATATTTCATGAAGTTTTAAAACCTTGTAAACCTTTTTTTTTTTTCTATAGATTGTTTTGGCAGTACCCTGTTTTTTTAAAGGTTTTGGGTAAAAAAAGTTAGCATGAATTAAGCTACAATTCACCTAAGACGTAAATGAGGACTTAAGATTGATAGCGGTGGGTAGATTTTGGTTATGAAGGTCCTCTCTTGATTTGGTGATGACTTATGGTATTATAGTTAATATATTAGACGTGTGATGGCAATTAAGTTTGGGTTTTAAGTGGATGTTGATGGAGGGCAAGAGTGAAGGTGGAAGGGAATTTATATATGTGGAGACTTGAAGATGGGATGGGTTCAGGCATTGCTTGAATTTAAGTGTTGTCGAGATGTATGGATGGGTTTAAAAGGCTTTGAGGGGTTTGCTGGAAGAGGTGGGCCGGGGGTTGGGAATTAGAGGAAAAGGCAGAAGATTCTCGTTGAAGATTTGTGCTATGGCATATCATACCTCTTTGAACTAGGATTAAGAGGTTTGTACTATGGCATATCATACCTCTTTCAAGTACACTTGTCAACTGCATAGTGAAATTTTATGAACCAAGTGATTGTATCTCACCACACATTAATCACCACTAGTTTGAGCGACCCTTCTGCACAATCTTGCTTTTTAGTCGATGTAACATTGTATCTAGTAAGGAAATCAATGTCCTTGGCCGAGATCGTGATTTGTCAGCTAGATTTTATGATTGTCATGTTTTTAAGTATTTATGTTATCTCTGGTAGAAATATATTAAATCATGTACTAGGTTTTCTTTTCATTTCAACTTTCATCTTAATTAACGGAAAATTATTAAAATTGAAGTTGTGGCTTGTGGGGGAGGTGGTTTGGTCGAAATATGTAAGCATTATGCAGGGGGTATGGAGGAGCACGAAGAAGGAAGGAGAGAAGCTAGGATGGGATATGACTATAATTGAAAGAGGGACTTTTACCCTCGATACATGGGGGAAAACATCGAGGGAAGAGGAAGTTCAATTGGAGATGCTGATCTTTGAGAGAGAAGGTTGTTTTGAAGAATTTCAGCCTGGGACAAAGAACCATGGTGGGTGGGACGCCGACGAAGGCTTGTATCCAACTAGGTTAGTGCATTTTGTGACGGTAGCCTTCCGGGCGGAAGGCAAAAAAGTAATGATGAAAACGAGGCAGGTGGAAAGGGGGCGGGGGGTGGTTGTAAAGGATTGATTTGGACACTGCAAATTATTCAAGAAGGAGATAAGATGGTGGTGCTTCACGGTGACCCCAATTTGTGCAATACATTGATGACATTGAAGATTGATGAGGGTGATTCAAGACGCGGGTTTGAGATTCTTGATCGAGTGGCATAACATAGAAAAGATACATGATACAGAGTTGATAGAGATTCGGGTGATCGATGAGCTATTGGATGAGCTGTTTGGGGCTATGATATTCTCTAAGATTAATTGGAAGTCGGGACATCATCAGATTCGGATGCAGTCCAAGGATGTGCACAATACGATATTTCGAGACTACGAGGGTCAGTAATAGTTTCTGATTAAATGGAAATGATTGTCAAATGATGACACCAGGTGCGAGGCACATGATTTGACCCAACATCAGTTTTTCTACCTTGAGGATAATCTATTTTTTTAGGAGGGGTGTATTCTTAGGTTGGTGCATAAAGGTCATTTTGTCTTTTATTAGCCTAAGGGCAATTTAGCCTTTTTATTATTATTGTTGGGTATAAATAGGGTTAATATGTTTAGGGTTAGGGTTATGGATGAGGTTGTGGTTGTGAGTTTTAGGGTTAGGGTTTAGGTATGAGATTGTGGTTGTGAGTTTTAGGGTTAGGGTTTAGGATTTTTGATCAGTGGCATAGCATGGAAGAGATCCATGATACAAAATTGATAGAGATTCTAATGTTCGATGAGCTATTGAGTGAACTATTTGGGTTTGCAATATTCTATAAGATTAACTGGAAGTCAGGACATCATCAGATTCAAATGCGGTCAAACAATGTGCACAAAATGACATTTCTAGACGGTGGGGTCACTACGAGTTCTCAATTAAATAGAATGGATTGTCATATAATGACACCACATGTGAGCCATACGACTTGATCTAGCAGTAATTTTTTCTAACTTGAGGAATTTTTTGGGATGGGAGTAATATTAGTCCGGTGCCTAAGGGAAATTTTGTTTTTTATTAGCTTAAGGGCAAATTAGTCTTTTTATTATTATTGTTGTTGGGTATAAATATGGTTAATATGTTTTTGGTTGGGTTTATGAATGAGATTATTGTTCAGTCTTAGGATTAGGGTTTGAGAGGGATTTCCTTTCTCTTGTGTAGGATTTGGGAGATATCATACTTCTCGAATTTTTGCTGCTTTATCTTATATATTCGTGTTGAGTTGTTTGCTGTTTTTGAAATAAAAGTAATATTTGCCCTTCTGTGAGAATTCAGCTTTGGATCGTATCAGCTTCCAATGTGAATTATATTTCACCATTTGATGAGAGGTGTATAAAAGATAAAATAATTTGTTCATTTCATGATCATTTTTAGATCATTAAACTTTGTCGCTAGGTTGTTTTTTGGATATTTCATGAAGTTTTAAAACCTTGTAAACCTTTTTTTTTTTTCTATAGATTGTTTTGGCAGTACCCTGTTTTTTTAAAGGTTTTGGGTAAAAAAAGTTAGCGTGAATTAAGCTACAATTCACCTAAGACGTAAATGAGGACTTAAGATTGATAGCGGTGGGTAGATTTTGGTTATGAAGGTCCTCTCTTGATTTGGTGATGACTTATGGTATTATAGTTAATATATTAGACGTGTGATGGCAATTAAGTTTGGGTTTTAAGTGGATGTTGATGGAGGGCAAGAGTGAAGGTGGAAGGGAATTTATATATGTGGAGACTTGAAGATGGGATGGGTTCAGGCATTGCTTGAATTTAAGTGTTGTCGAGATGTATGGATGGGTTTAAAAGGCTTTGAGGGGTTTGCTGGAAGAGGTGGGCCGGGGGTTGGGAATTAGAGGAAAAGGCAGAAGATTCTCGTTGAAGATTTGTGCTATGGCATATCATACCTCTTTGAACTAGGATTAAGAGGTTTGTACTATGGCATATCATACCTCTTTCAAGTACACTTGTCAACTGCATAGTGAAATTTTATGAACCAAGTGATTGTATCTCACCACACATTAATCACCATTAGTTTGAGCGACCCTTCTGCACAATCTTGCTTTTTAGTCGATGTAACATTGTATCTAGTAAGGAAATCAATGTCCTTGGCCGAGATCGTGATTTGTCAGCTAGATTTTATGATTGTCATGTTTTTAAGTATTTATGTTATCTCTGGTAGAAATATATTAAATCATGTACTAGGTTTTCTTTTCATTTCAACTTTCATCTTAATTAACGGAAAATTATTAAAATTGAAGTTGTGGCTTGTGGAGTTTCATGTTTTTGTGCTGCATGATTTTGTGCATCTCATACTAGTTATGCATTGGAAACTTTTGACACTATGTTGTCCAACTTTAGTTACCTTTATCGTATAATAACAAGTCTTTACTTTTGTTTATCCTTCTCTATACATTTTGTTGATTGCTACGTGCAGTTATAGCTCTATTTTTGGTTATGTTTTTGTCAAACTTTTATCATTTTCTTTCAATTATTTTCTTATATTTTCTTTTCTTTGATACTACCTTTACTCATTAATAGAAATGCTTTTGGATAATTACCATTATGCTTTCTTCCTGTCAGCACCAAGTTCTGGATTAATTTGCTTTGTTAGGCGTTGTTATTATTTTATCATGATGTTGTTTCTTTTTCGCAGGAGAGTGCCTTTTTAGAGGTATGAGCTTTTAACGTGGATAAAAAAGGTTCCTCTTGTCTGGTAATTCTTTTTCTTAGCAATAAAATGGCATTCCAAATTTCATAGTCATGTTAGTGGTTATTTAGGTGATGCAATTTGACATTGGAGCTTCCCAAGTTGCTTTTATCTTCCTCGAAGAGCTTCTCGTTCAATTCAGGTAACTGTCTGATTACGGTTGTTTGATTAAGCATTACGATTGTTATAGATTAATCTCTTTTATTTTTACTTATTGCACTGCATTGAGATTCAAGCCAAATAAAGTAGTTTTTGGGAAGCTATCAAGTGCTAATTTATCTGCTACAACGAGTAAACGTTATCTAGGTTGCATGGGTCAGTAAGATGATGTTTATGCAAGCTTTGGCATGTTTCTTCTCTTATCATTGCAAGTGTTATAAATGTTATTGCTAGTTGTTGCGTGCTAGAGGTCATGTATGTAAAGAATGCGGGTTTATTTGCCTTAGCTATGAATGTATGTAGAGAATGAGGGTTTATTTGCCTTAGCTATGAACCACAGTCAACTCACAATAGGAGAAGTAGAAAGGAGCAAGTAAGAATAATAATTTTGAATATAAAAAAATCGAAGACAAAATCAAGGATCTCTGTTTAGTTAAAAAACTTTCTACTAGTCGTATATATGGATTATGTAGAACTGCCCTTTCCTGAACAGTTGGAAGAAGTTGGTGTTACAAAGTGTAGATAAATGCATTTTGTTACAAATATTTTAATTTTAGTGACGCAATAAAGTTGATGGGGTATACAGAGGTGACCACATTAGTCTTTACTTGAAAGTGAATGAGAGATGATCTTGATGTGGTAGGCAAGGCATGTTGAAATGTTGCGGAGGCCACTAAAGATAGTTACGTCAATCCTCTCCTATAGATGTGGACGGCAAGAACTGAGGAGATCAAAAGGCATCATGGGAAGGTCGTGAATGCCATTATAGATAGTTGAATTAGTCCTCCAACAGACACACCAGGATGTGCCCGCACATGATCAGAAAGTGAGCAGATGTTCTCAAATCTGAGTTGGTCAGTTTGACTAACTCTGGCTGGGTCTGGTCAGGTGATTGATCAATAACCATCAACTATAATTTGACAGCGATGATAGCTAGTGGTGTCTTTGATCAATAACCAAAATATATTATATTATAGATCTTGATGTTACAAACCATTGACTAATTGCACATACGTTGGTTTGAGAGATGAGAGAATTCTGAGCAGGTTGGCTAATCAAATTTATAGTGGTAATTTTTTTTTTGATGGTACACCTCTATTTTTGTTTCGTCTCTTTAAGAGAATCACACATTACAAATTTGCTGCAAAGTAAAGGCCATTGGAGGCCACTAAAGTTTCAAAAATTTTTAATCTAGTTGGACGAACTACGCCAAGCCAATTGAATTTTGGGACAATCCAATTCTTATAGAGAGGATATTGGAGGGTTGTGCAAATGGCCACCTTAAGGTACATATGCAACGTGCGTCAATATTTACATCTGAAAATATCAGATGATGAATATTAGCATCGGAATACCGTCTCATTTGCAATGAAAATATCGTAGAACGACAAAATATTAGTGTCATTTTAGCGTCGGATTTTACGTCCGAAAATCGACACAAATCCGATGATAACCTGTAACACAGAAATAAGAATTAGAATATCAATTATATTTTCACAATCTGCACAGAAATACATTCTATATCACATACCATATTAAGCATAATCATGTCATAGATCAAATCTCTAAACAATATTATTAATAAAAAGGATGTTATTGTCACAAATCGTCCCAAATAAGAATAGTAATGTTAATCTAAAAAATTTCAGAACAAATATTTGACAATGCTTACAAATGAAAGAAAATATAAAAGAAAACTATTCATCATCTCCATCCTCCTCCTCCTGCATGGATGTCATCGGCTGCTTGTCCCGACTATCTACTAAAGTCTCCGTCATGCACTCTATAGAATCCTCAACTAAAGAAAACTATTCATCATCTCCATCCTCCTCCTCCTCCTGCGCGGATGTCATCGTCTGTTTGTCCCGACTATCTACTAAAATCTCCGTCATGCACTCTATAGAATCCTCAACTAAATGTTGGCCTTGTAGCATCTGCCCGCGCAGCTAACTAATCTCATTTATTACAGCCACCTGCTTGGCAAGAGTCTCCTGGTTTGGCTGTGAGGAGCTCGGGGAACTAAGAATGGGATCACGAGAGAGCTCAGCCTGGCCATAAACCCTCCCCTTCTTCCTCTCTACCACCTGGGTTCAAAGCTCGTACTCCGAATGTGCTCTGGTAGATTGACTACCATTGCTCCTGCATGATGAAAACCAACCCTTTAATTGACACTTTCAATATTAGAGTTAAAATAAACTTTTAATTAAAAGTTTTTAACTTACAACAGTATGTCGGGAATGCTCTGAGGCCCATTGCGTAGTTCCTGGGCGCTGATGAGTTCGGACATGCAGCTCTGCAACTGATGGAGCATGGCTCAACTCTTTGATCTGTGCAGTGTACAAAAATGGTTAGCAGTAAAAATTACTCAATTTTGAATTAATGTTCAAATTTCTAAAAAAATCTTACCAGTCTCATGTAGTGCTATGTACGGGGGACCGATCCGCCAATATGGAGCACAGTTCTCCTGACTTCTTCTGTCGCCCGGTTCGCCCGGTTCGTTAGTCTCTTCCTCTTTTTGAATTAATGTTCAAATTTCTAAAAAAATCTTATCAGTCTCTTGTAGTGCTCCGTGTGGGGGACCGATCCGCCAATATGGAACGCAGTTCTCCTGACTTCTTCTGTCGCCCGGTTCGCCTAGTTCGTCCGTCTCTTCCTCTCATAATCAGAAGAGGTCCAAGTTGCGGGCAGACCGCTTGCCCCTTCGGCAGGATGTCATGAACATGTCGGCAAGGTGGTTCCTGCCCTGAATCTCGAAGATTCGACGGATCTACTGGCGGTGCTTTGAGAGTCAAGTGAAGGACTTCTGCAACGTAAAAAATAATCCATGTGTTAGTATAAAAAATTAAATCAAATTCACAAATCTTACTGAAATTACATGATCATACCTCAAACTACATGAACCACATGTCCCAAGTGGCTACATGTTTCTACTTTCACGATAGATAGGGCTCACCGTACCTGCTTGTGATAATCTCTGTGATGCAGGTGACGGTCAGCCTATGGGGAATGAATTTGCATAAGAATTAAATTAGTTACCAAAAATATATAACATGAAGAATAAACATAATGTAATATTAAAAATAACTTATGAGCCCCCTTTTGGCAATAACTGTGCCCGGGGGGGGGGGGGTGGGGGGGGGGGGGCGAAGACC